GATATTGATAATTGAGATCTCATCATATTGAGTATTGCCCTTAACAAATATAAAGTGGCCATCTTTATCTTTGGTTACTTTTGTTGGTTACTATTGTATCTGTGAATAAAATTGCAACACTTGCTTTTTTCTGCTTTCTATTAGCCTGGAATATAGATGACCATCCCTTCCCCCGAGTCTATATTTGTCTTTTAAGGTAAGATGAGATTCTTGTATACAACAGATGTCTGGTCTGAGTTTCTGTATCAAATCAGCCAATCTGTGCCTCTTTAGAGGACAATGTAAGCCATTCACATTGATTGAAATTATTGATAAGCCTGATAAATTTTTAGGTATCAAGTTGTTCGAAAGTCCAGCGGATGTTTTTAATCCTTTCACCACTGTAGAAGTTGGAGTTTGATCAATAATTTCTGAGTTTGTTTACTTTTGTGGTGGAGGATTGCTCTGGTCATTATGGAGAATAGGTCTGAGAATATCCTGGAGAGCTGGTTTACTTATGGCAAATTTCTTCAATGCATGGATGTTATTAAAGTATTTAATTTCTCCATCATAAATTAATCTCAGTTTAGCTGGATACAGGATCCTGGGCTGAAAGTTATTTTTTTAAGAGATTAAATGTCGATGACCATCCTCTTCTTGCCTGAAAGGTTTCAGCAGAGATATCCACAGTTATTCTGATATTCTTTCCCTTGTAGGTTATGGTTTTCTTACGTCTTGCTTCTTTCAAGATTCTCTTTCATATTAACTTTAGTGAAGTTAATTGTGATGTGTCTGGGGGATGTCTTATTCAGGTTGAGTTATGCTGGGGTTCTAAAGCTGTCTGCAATCTGAATTTCAGGATCTCTTGACATATCTGGAAAGTTCTCTTTCATAATTTCATAAAGAAGAGCCTCTGTGTTTTGCAAAACCACTTTGTCACTTTCAGGGATTCCTATAAGGCGAATATTAGTTTTCTTTGAATTATTCCAAGGCTCTCTGAGAGAATGCTCTGCTTTTGCTTTCCATTTCTGATTCTCTTTGGACATTTGGACATATTCAGAAGCTTTGTCTTCTACATCTGAGATCCTTTCTTCTGCCTCCTGCACTCTGTTGCCAAGAGATTCTACCTTATTTTTCAGATTTTTGAGGGCTGCAATCTCTTGCCTTAATGTTTCAAAATCTTTGATAGTTTTGTCTTTGAATTCATTGAATTCTTGAGTGAACTTTTGGAATGCTCCTTGAATTTCTAGTTCTATCTTTGCCTCTATTCTATTAATCTTATTTGCAATCCAAGTTCTGAATTCAATTTCTGACATCTCAGCCATCTCTTTATAAAGGAGATCTTCAGTTTCTCCACATCTTTTCTTGGGGGGTTTGACCTACTCTGGTTATTCATATTACCAGCCACATCCTTTCTTGGGGGGGGGTTGATCTACTCTGGTTATTCATATAACCAGAGATTTTTTGCTGATTCCTTCCCATGATTATTTTACCCCGTTTGGCTTTTCCCCTTGAGGTTTGTCAAGGACCCGTACAGTGTTACGGCCTGAGAGACTGGGGACCTGCTTGGTGTGGTGGGCTAAGGGGCTCTGTCTTATTTTCAGCTGGTCTCTGTCCTACCCTAGTGATTCAGTTACTCTTGCTTGAAGTCTCTGCTGTGGAGAAATACCAGCAATTAAGTCACCCCACCCCCCACAAACAACACTTGGGCAAGGAAAATCAAACCTTCCCTCAACCATACACCCAGGGTGCCCCCTTGAATAGTCCCTGGGTGGTCTGCCCAGTTTAAGGGGTCCAAATCAGTTGTCCCAGTTAGCACCAGTTTCCTGTGGAAGAGTTCAAATGTCTCC